AGCTGGGGGGGGGGGCGGGCGGGGCAGCACCGGGACCCCCAGAGCCCCGGGACCGGGCCGGGCCGGGCCGGGCCGAGCCCCGCAGGCTGCCCTGCCGCCCTCCGGAGAGACACCCTGGGCTGGGGCCGGGCTTCAAGGGCTGCCCTGCCTCCCTCCAGAGACCCCGGGGCTGAGGCCGGGCTCCGCAGGCTGCTCTGCCACCGGCCAGAGAGAGACCCCGGGGCTGGGGCCGGGCTTAACGGGTCCAGGCAAGACCCTTCTGCACTGCAGAGCTCTCCAGGGGCTCAGCCGGGCTTTGAAGGGGACTGGGTAGGGCCCTGCTGCCCTTCACAGCGCCCTGGGGATTTTTTTTTTTGCCAGGGATTGTTTCTCTCCTCCTTTTCCCCTCTCCTCCTGCATCATCTTCTCCTCTTCCTCCAAGACTTTCTCAGCTTGCAAGTTCCGAGTGGCTCTGTGCTCCACGGCGTTCTGAAGATCTAAGGAAAATGCAGGACAGCAACGTCATTGTATTGGGACAACTCCGCTCCAGCCATCCTGTCACCACTTCCGTAGCTCCAGGCGAACATTTCCCAATTTCACTCACATCGCAGGGCAGACCTCGGCGCCCACGTTCCCTTCATTCTCCTCCAGCTGATGTGCTGCAGCTCCCTGCCCATGGCTGGGCGAGACACTTTAGCACTATGAACCGCTACAAAAAGGGAAGAAACACCAAAAAGCACACGCTTAGACTCAGTCTTTGCTAGGACACCTCCTTCCCATGAGGTATGGGTAGATCGCGTGCTTCCAGGCTCAGTTGAGTCTGCAGACCGTGCAGCCTCCCCAGAAAACACAGAAAATACTTCACCTTGAAAGTGATCTCTGCCGGGCACCATAGAAACGGAAGATGGGAAGTCCCAAGTACATCTCATTCTGAACAGTCTCCTTACGGGCATTTCTTCCCCTTAGAGATGTATTCACCACACGTCTTGCAACTAAAAAAGAAGAAAGAGAAGTCCATAACACATCAAAAGAAGAGAACAAACAGACCAATAAAAGTCCAAGTGATTTTTCGGGCTGTGTCAGCCTGGATTCTGAGCAATGGTTATTTTCGCCTTCCGAAATTCAGTACCTACTCTTCAAAGAGCCCCCAAATCACCCACAGCATCTCTTCCCTCTCCCTCACCCCTTTCCTTCTGGTCTGTGTCACGTCTAACGGCTGCTGGCAGCAGCTCCGCCGCAGCGCATAGAGGTGAAACAACTCCTAAACAAACTCTTCTCTTCTACAGCCTCTTCCTTCTGACCGGCACAGCCCCTCTTACCACATGTTGAAGGGGGCCATCAGCCGCACCACATACTGTCGGTCCTTTGGGAGTTTGAGCTTTGGGATCTTAGCAGGATCGAAGTCCGGCGAGTAGTATTTCTACAGAGACAGAGCAGAGACGCGTGTGTGCTGGGCGCAGAGTCACCCAGAGCAGTGTGAACCCTGGCAGGCAGGCTCCCAGCTGCCACATCAGCCTAAGGGATCAGCTCCACGCAGCAGGAGCCAGCATCCCCAATAACCAGGTACGCTCTCAGGGGCCAAACGCGCCGTCCACCACCCCCTGCCAAGTCCTGGCAGCGGTGTCTGCCTCTCCCCGAGCCCTTGGCTCAACCCCCCCCAGCGAGCCCCCCCATGATTTTAGGGCCTAACCCGCTTGCCCAGGCAGCCCCTGCCAGTGCTGCCAGGAGCCCCAGCCCAGCCGCCCCCCCCCCGCCCCCAGTCTGGGACCCACGATCAGCGTGAGACTCCCCACACCCACCAGCTACCCCTCCCGGCCTGCGGGCCCCCTCTCAATCCATCAGAGCCCCCCCCAAGGCCCACCTTCAGCCTGGGAACCCCCCCTACAGCCATCAGGAACGCCTCCAACCTGGGAAGCGCTGAAGATTCCCTCAGCCTGGGGACCCCTCCACAACGAGCAGGGCGCCCCCAGCCTCTGTACGCCCCCACAGCGACCAAGGTGCCCCCCCAGCTCACGTCCAACACCTCCCGCTCCGACATGGCCGC